GTCGTTCCTAACTTTCTTCCAACCATCCCCAACACTAGTCAGCTTTGCGCGTCGTGGTAATTGGTGTGCAGGTATACGTAACACAACCCAAACATCCCGGTCGATGTAGTAGCTTACGAGTATCCTCCACTCTTAATGGCCATGTTTCGCAGTCGTAAAGTAGAACAGAACGAACAACTGCGCAGTATACTCGTCCCATAATTGATAGACAGCTATCTCGCCTTCCCCATAGGTGACAAAAACCAAACGAGCTTTTTGAGTCCGTGCAGAGATTTCGTCAGCCACCAACCCATTGTTGCTGATCAAACTTTCAATATGCGTGAAGTTGTCGATGCGTTCAACTACTTCACTCCCAATTAAGTTTGATTACCTTAATACTTCAATAAAATGAACCATTTGAAAAGATATGTCAATCGTGGGACCAACTGGTACTTACTTATTTACTTAGTTACGCCTGTTACTCCCAATGGAGCATAGGCCGCTGACCAGCATTCTCCAACCCACTCTGTCCTGGGCCTTCTTTTCTTACTTACTTACATACTCCTGTTACTCCCAATGGAGCATAGGCCGCTGACCAGCATTCTCCAACCCACTCTGTCCTGAGCCTTCTTTTCTAGTTCCATCCAATTCTTGTTCATTTTTCTCATGTCTATCTCCAGTTCTCGGCGTAATGTGTTCTTTGGTCTTCCTCTTTTCCTTTGACCTTCAGGATTCCATGTGAGGGCTTGTCTTGTGACGCAGTTGGGTGCTTTCCTCAATGTGTGTCCTATCCACTTCCAGCGCTTCTTCCTGATTTCTTCCTCCACTGGGATCTGGATCTGGTTTGTTCTCTCTCACAGTACGTTGTTGCTAATAGTGTCCAGCCAATGGATTTGAAGTATTTTGCGTAGACAACTGTTAATAAACACCTGTATTTTCTGGATGATGGCTTTCGTAGTTCTCCAGGTTTCTGCCCCATACAGTAGAACTGTCTTGACATTTGTATCGAAAATCCTGACCTTGGTGTTGGTTGACAGTTGCTTTGAGTTCCAGATGTTCCTCAGTTGTAAATATGCTGCTCTTGCTTTGCCGATCCGCGCCTTCACATCTGCATCAGATCCACTCTGTTCATCAATGATGCTGCCCAAATATGTAAAGGTTTTTACATCTTCCAAATCTTCTCCGTCAATTGTAACTGGATTGGTGCATGCTGTGTTGTATCAGAGAATCCTGCTTTTCCCTTTGTGTATGTTGAGACCTACTGCTGCTGAGGCTGCTGCCACGCTGTTTGTCTTCTCCTGCATCTGTTGTTGCGTTTGGGATAGAAGGGCCAGATCGTCTGCGAAGTCTAGATCATCCAACTGCATCTTAGATGTCCATTGTATCCCGCGCTTTCCTTCAAACGTTGACGTCTTCATGATCCAGTCGATCACCAGGAGAAAGAGAAAGGGTGAGAGTAAGCAACCTTGCCTAACACCGGTCTTCACTTCGAACGACTTTGTCAACTGTCCTCCATGCACAATTTTGCAGTGTAATCCATCATATGAGTTCTGTATGATATTGACTATCTTCTGAGGCACGCCGTAGTGTCGAAGAAGTTTCCATAGTGTTGTTCTGTCCACGCTATAAAATGCCTTTTCGTAGTCAATGAAGTTGATGTAGAGTGATGAATTCCATTCAATTGATTGTTCCACAATGATCCGTAGAGTTGCGATTTGGTCTGTACACGATCTATCCTTACGGAATACTGCCTGTTGGTCTCGAAGTTGGGCGTCTACGCAGTCCTTCATCCTGTTTAACAATACCCTGTTGAAGACTTTTCCCGGTATTGAGAGAAGAGTGATGCCCTGTAGTTATCACACTTGCTGAGATCGCCTTTCTTCAGTATTCTGATTAGAAGTCCTTCTTTCCAGTCTGTTGGTACTTGTTCCTCATCCCAAATCTTATTGAAGAGAATGTGGAGTATCCTTGCAGTTGCCGCTACGTCTGCTTTTAGTGCCTCTGCTGGGATGTTGTCCGGTCCTGCTGCTTTGCCACTCTTGATTTGTCTGATGGCCATGCTGATTTCTTCAATTGTTGGTGGGCCAACATTGATTGGGACCGGCAGTAGCCCCCGGAGGGACTCCAGGCGGAGTTTCTGACAACCAGAGCAACCATTTATTTAGGTACATGGAATGTTCGTACAATGTGGGACACCGGAAGAGCCTTCCAAATTGCTGCAGAAATGAGAAGATACAACCTAGAGGTACTTGGGATCAGTGAAACACATTGGACACAGGTTGGACAACAACGACTAACTACAGGAGAGCTCCTGTTATACTCCGGCCATGAAGAAGAAAATGCACCACATACACAAGGAGTTGCATTGATGCTGTCCAAACAAGCGCAAAATGCACTTATAGGATGGGAATCTCATGGACCAAGGATCATCAAAGCCTCCTTCAAAACAAAGAAAGACGGCATTTCAATGAACATCATCCAATGCTATGCGCCTACCAACGACTACAATGAAGACGCTAAAGATCAATTCTACAATAGGCTGCAGTCAATCGTCGAGAAGTGCCCAACAAAGGACCTGACCATTCTGATGGGAGATTTCAACGCCAAGGTTGGAACGGACAACACTGCATGTGAAGACATCATGGGACGACACGGACTGGGAGAAAGAAACGAAAATGGTGAAAGGTTTGCAAATCTATGTGCCTTCAATAAGCTGGTCATAGGCGGCACCATATTCCCACATAAACGCATACACAAAACCACATGGACTTCACCGGATCACTCTACACAAAACCAAATCGACCATATTTGCATCAACAAAACGTTCAGGAGGACTATAGAGGACGTGAAAACCAAGAGAGGAGCTGATATAGCATCAGATCATCACTTACTGGTCGCCAAGATGAAATTGAAACTCAACAAGCACTGGACAACTGGGCGGACAATATCACAAAAGTTCAATACGGCCTTTCTCCAGGATACTAACAAACTCAACAAATTCAAGATAGTCCTCAGCAACAAGTTCCAGGCCTTTCATGATCTACTCAATGGAGAAGGAACTACTGTGGAGAGCAACTGGAAGGGGATCAAAGAGGCAATCACTTCAACATGTCATGAGGTCCTGGGTCACAAGAAGCACCATCACAAGGAATGGATCACTGTTGATACACTGGATAAGATTCAAGAAAGAAGGAACACGAAGGCAGCGATCAATACCAGCCGAACAAGAGCAGAAAAAGCTAAGGCACAAGCTGAATACACGGAAATAAACAAACAAGTGAAGAGGAGCATCAGAACCGACAAACGTAAATATGTGGAAGATTTAGCAACGACGGCGGAAAAGGCTTCAAGAGAAGGAAACATGAGACAATTGTATGACACGACAAAGAAACTCTCTGGAAATCGCCGCAAACCAGAATGACCAGTGAAAAGCAAGGAAGGCAAGGTAATCACCCACATTGAAGAGCAACAAAACAGGTGGATAAAACACTTCAAAGAACTCTTGAATCGACCAGCGCCACTGAACCCACCCAACATCGAAGCAGCACCCACGGACCTCCCAATCAATGTTGGCCCACCAACAATTGAAGAGATAAGCATGGCCATCAGACAAATCAAGAGTGGCAAAGCAGCAGGACCGGACAACATCCCAGCAGAGGCACTAAAAGCAGACGTAGCGGCAACTGCAAGGATACTCCACATTCTCTTCAATAAGATTTGGGATGAGGAACAAGTACCAACAGACTGGAAAGAAGGACTTCTAATCAGAATACTGAAGAAAGGCGATCTCAGCAAGTGTGATAACTACAGGGCATCACTCTTCTCTCAATACCGGGAAAAGTCTTCAACAGGGTATTGTTAAACAGGATGAAGGACTGCGTAGACGCCCAACTTCGAGACCAACAGGCAGTATTCCGTAAGGATAGATCGTGTACAGACCAAATCGCAACTCTACGGATCATTGTGGAACAATCAATTGAATGGAATTCATCACTCTACATCAACTTCATTGACTACGAAAAGGCATTTTATAGCGTGGACAGAACAACACTATGGAAACTTCTTCGACACTACGGCGTGCCTCAGAAGATAGTCAATATCATACAGAACTCATATGATGGATTACACTGCAAAATTGTGCATGGAGGACAGTTGACAAAGTCGTTCGAAGTGAAGACCGGTGTTAGGCAAGGTTGCTTACTCTCACCCTTTCTCTTTCTCCTGGTGATCGACTGGATCATGAAGACGTCAACGTTTGAAGGAAAGCGCGGGATACAATGGACATCTAAGATGCAGTTGGATGATCTAGACTTCGCAGACGATCTGGCCCTTCTATCCCAAACGCAACAACAGATGCAGGAGAAGACAAACAGCGTGGCAGCAGCCTCAGCAGCAGTAGGTCTCAACATACACAAAGGGAAAAGCAGGATTCTCTGATACAACACAGCATGCACCAATCCAGTTACAATTGACGGAGAAGATTTGGAAGATGTAAAAACCTTTACATATTTGGGCAGCATCATTGATGAACAGAGTGGATCTGATGCAGATGTGAAGGCGCGGATCGGCAAAGCAAGAGCAGCATATTTACAACTGAGGAACATCTGGAACTCAAAGCAACTGTCAACCAACACCAAGGTCAGGATTTTCGATACAAATGTCAAGACAGTTCTACTGTATGGGGCAGAAACCTGGAGAACTACGAAAGCCATCATCCAGAAAATACAGGTGTTTATTAACAGTTGTCTACGCAAAATACTTCAAATCCATTGGCTGGACACTATTAGCAACAACGTACTGTGAGAGAGAACAAACCAGATCCAGATCCCAGTGGAGGAAGAAATCAGGAAGAAGCGCTGGAAGTGGATAGGACACACATTGAGGAAAGCACCCAACTGCGTCACAAGACAAGCCCTCACATGGAATCCTGAAGGTCAAAGGAAAAGAGGAAGACCAAAGAACACATTACGCCGAGAACTGGAGATAGACATGAGAAAAATGAACAAGAATTGGATGGAACTAGAAAAGAAGGCTCAGGACAGAGTGGGTTGGAGAATGCTGGTCAGCGGCCTATGCTCCATTGGGAGTAACAGGCGTATGTAAGTAAGTAAGTAAGCTGGTTGTCAGAAGGGGCATCGGTCTCGTAACTTCCGAAGGAATTCGGCTTTCATCATGAAGCGTCATAATTCTTCTAAATGAAGACCTTCAGACTCCCAAGGCAGAGGTTAAAAGGTTTGAATAATTTTTTCTGGTTAGCGTTTATTTAGCGAGTTAGTTTCACATTTAAATAGTGGCTATTTTTTCTGTAGTATTCTCAAACAAAGGAAAGTAAATCTTTTACAAAAAGCTTGTTCTGTTCCGCTCTTATCAAGTTAATGCCTAGTTTGCTGATAAAGTTTGATGTTCCTTCATTAACTTATTCAGTAGCCATTCCATCGTAAGTGTGTGTGCGCGACTTGGGATAAAAAATTATTACTTAAATTCACAGATATCCAAGTGCTGCGAGGCTTTTTGTACTTAAAACCAGCGTTCGAAAGATAATTGACTAGTCCTATATAGTATTAAACTCGCATATCGGGTTTCTCTTTTGTTTGCCGCCAAAATACAACCCTTATGTGCATCCACAGTGAGTTCATATATAGACTGATTACTTGGTTATTTCTAGTGATTTAGTATATTTGCATATTTAAAATAATATTTTTATCTACCTCTTTTCCAATTATATGAGTATTCCCTATGCGACATAATTTTTTTAGCGTTTCATCCTGTCTTTCAGATGATCAACTACCCCATGTTGTTTTGGGCTTCGACACTCGTGAAAGTTCTCCAGCTTTAGCAAATGAAGTTAATCAAGGTGTTAGTGTTATGCATGGCATCTGCCATGAACTTGGACTAGTGACCACTCCGCAACTTCACTATTTTGTTCAATATATTGTAAGTTATTGGGATTGGCCAACTCATTTTTAAAGACAATTTAAAAATTTCCACAAAATGGGTTTTTTTGGTTTAGGCGTTCTTTAGAGTCGTACATTTCTACTTTCTTTATTATTAGAATAACTTACCAGTTTATTATACAGAATATGTCATTGTTAAGTCATTAGTGTAGTGTTTGAGAATAGAATTTGAACTATTAGGAATAATGAAGTTGCTTGCCTTGACTATCGCATACTACCGACGTTGGGTGACTTTTAAAATAGCTCAGTGATAACACAAACAGTTTTAATTGTTCATTTATGGTTGTAAGTGTAATAAAACGTTGATATTTACAGGACTTTTATATAACTTATTAAGCCATCGAGGTTTGTGTATGTGTTATCTTGTACATTACAAATAACGTGATCTTTTTGCAAGCTAACTTAAAAAAAGAACCGGCAGTTATTAGTTTCCTTTGTCAAAACAAGTTTCATCAGAATGAATGAATACTTCGCATATGTTTATTTTCATACAAAATCATTCTACTCCATAATGTCGTTATTGTCTTGATCACCACTCAGAAATAGTCTTAAATACTCAGTGAAAAAATTTACAAAACGGTTGATTCGGTAGTATATTATAATTTAACTAGTTACCTGATGCAGTGTCGTGTAAAGTGATAAAATCAGTAAACGTGTAAAGCAAAGTTAGTAGTAATAGCTGACTATTTTTATGATCGACATAAAGACGATAAAGAAACTAGAGTTAGTCAGTCAATTAGTCAGCTACAACGTAGGACCAGGCACATATATGCATCGGTCCAAGTTGCTACACCTCATTAGCACAACAAGATGAACACGAGATTCATAGAAGTAGTCACTTCAGTGGTAGTAATATATAAAAGAAAGATTCTTTATAAGGATATAATACAGGGAGAAAGAACTAGTTGGTAGAAAGAAAAATATAAAGCAATTTTAATCTCACGGTTTAAGGGAAGACAGAGAGTGTACACACCTACGCCATTGTGATCGATTCTGAGCCATGTCACCCAGAGTCTCCAACCATTGGTTATGATAATCACGCGGACCCAAACGAAGTAGTTTGCATCTACCAACATGGTTTAGATCAGAAGTTAGTGATTTCAAGGACAGAAACTGGAAGCTAATAATTGCCATTGATTAGCTAAACAAATGGGATGGATAAGTTTGGAATTTTAGTAAAATATAATATTCATTGTGTTGCTCTCAGATAAGAAGTTCAAACTCAAGCGAGTTATACCTTCAAGTCTGTTGACAGAATTATACGCTTTTCATGATACTCAGGCCAGGCAATACCTGATATCTATCTTCCCCCATTAGGAAATCTGAAGGAGGTCAGATAATCAATCAGAGCGTACTCAAGATTATTGACTAATTGATTGCTTACTCTCTGTGCTGATTTGGAGTCTGTAAGCTTCAGAATGCTTTGATACGAAAATGAGCGACACGGTTTATGACGGTGCACATTCAAATTTTCACATTCAGTCAATGCAATTAGAAACTTGCATTAAAAAAACAAATTTAATCTCATGAAAGTTGATATCGTTAAACGATTTGGAAAAATAAAAAGTAGCACAAAGGCCATACATTTTGTTATGTGATCGTTAGAGTTTTTAATAGTTACATAAGACATGACAGATGAATAATGTAGTCTTTTTTTCTTCCTTTGCACTATATTCCCCGTTTTTGTGGTGTTTTTAGTGAAAGCTTGTATTTTCATGTGAAATTTTCAGTTAAATGGACCGAAGCTCTAAACTAGACATAAGATTAGTTAATATTTTAAATTAGATAGGTTTCGGTGTTATTTCTATGTTATATCACACCGTACTATTTTCCTATTCTTTATGAAATTGCAGAATTCAATTGGTAGCCCATGTTCCAACCAACTTGTTGATTTAGAAACTATTTACGTTCATCATTTTGCTGAACGTTTCACCACCGCGTTAGAAAATTTACAAAGTTGTACTGAATCAATACATTTAAATATAGATTGTGCACATGGTGTTGGTTCTAAAGTTTTAGAACGTTTTCGTGCATATTTTTCATCTGTCAAAGGCCCACGTAGATTAATATTACACTTATATAATACAGAGACAGAAAAAAAAGAGTTACTTAATCAAAATTGTGGAGCTGATTTTGTTAAAGTAAGCTATTTGTATGTTCTTTTTTGTTTTTACGAACAATATTTAGCAAAAACCACATCTGCATATTGTGTAACAAACCACATTAAATCAGGGGTTAAATAAAGTGAAAATTCGATCTTCCACCTCACAATATGCATGATTTAGATGTCAAAAAATAGATTCATTTTGGTCACAATTTGATGGGAGTCTCATTTGATTAAAAGCCAGATGTTTTGGCTTTTAATTATGTCCACATAGCAACATACAGAAACGGTGTAAACCAAGTAGGAAACTAGTGTCTCTATAACTGAGTACATTTAGTTTTATTCGTTCTAGCGAATCCCCTCTCTAAAAACTATCCTTATGTGATAACTTAATTTGTAGAACTTCTCGATATTTAATTTGTTTGGGCTATAATTTTAAACTCTTATAAATACCAGGCCGTTGGTCACACTTCCATCAAAGCTAATCATACTTATTGTCATCTGAATACATAAACACTAAGTTAAAATTTCTGAAAGTTTAATTCGAAGGCTCTGTAGAATTTCTTTCAGTTACTCTATAAACATATTTGGTTTTACGTCCACATTAATTGTTTGTAGGTCAACACGAATAATGGATACACACGCGTATATACATTTGTGGTGGTCGGTATTCGATATAATCCTTAAACTTCGTATACAGTTCGTCTTGATAACCGTTCTATATAACGTCCCAACGGTATATTAATCAGAAGGCAAATACGAAGTGTTGATTACGTTTATTACGAGACCACACATATATATCCAAATGTACAGATGCGTTAAACAAGCATAGAAGAGTTGTGCCGAAAGGCAAGCAAGAGAGCGGGAGCCAGAGCAAGAGCGAGACGAGAGCGTGTGAGTGAGTGTTGAATATGAATAATATGGACATATATATGCCATGTGAAATGAATGAGTAATCGAATCAAATAAGCAGTTAGTAGTAGTAAGATTAGCAGAGTGAATAAATGCGTAGGCTGTAAGCAATATTCAAGCATACGTATTTCATACAAGCACAAAATAATAAGGGTACAATAAGTTGTTATAGTGCGGATGTCTTTGTCCGCTAAATAAGTTAGCAAAAGGGCTTAACTGAGTTAGATGAGAATAAACCCAATTGCACGTTAGTCGCTATACGTCTTCTTGCTACTTAGAGCTAGAGGAATCTAATTAGTTAAAGTATTTCGGTTGTATTCGATAATGAAATAAAAACAATCGGTAACTGGACTTGTTTTATTCCTTACGATTTAATTGTTAATTAAATGTTTTTTCAACATTTGAATAGTCTCCATATAAAATGCTAAGTTTTTAACTTGTAAATTGACACGTATCTCAATATACCAACTGTCAGTCATATGTGTATTTTAATCGAGCTGAATTTCATATCCAAAACCTTGTATTTACATGTGCAGTATGAAACTAGTCGTTTTTAATTTTATTGAAAAGTGTAGAAATAATGAGAAGTCAATTAATATCTTTCTAATTGAGGATGAGTTGATAGTTTTTTACTTCTAAATATTTATTATTATTGTACTTAATGGTGAAGTGTGTTGAGGAATATGTTAAATATATGTAATTTCTCGTGTTACCAATAGCCGTATTTCTTTATATGTGTATTTATAATCTCGTGATATTGAGTGATACTCGCTTAAATCTCTGAGGAAGCATAAATTCCCTCAAGATTATAAATCTGTCTTGCTGACGAGACTATCAAATGACATAAAATCTATATTCATAGCTACTGGTCGATTACTTTTCAACCACCTAACATATTTTTCTGTGTTTACAAGCCTAACTTTTCCAGATATTAAGTTCTTTGGATTTTTACTGATATATACGAAATGTTAATAAATTGTTTTTGCTCTTCACTTCACTGAAGTTGTGAACAGCAACCATTGTTCGTATTTTTAAATAGCTGTTTTACCTTTTTTCTTAGTTATATTTGTGCTGCGTTCTCCTATTTGTTTAACAGATAACACTAAATGCACCAAAGTTAACCCCACCGAATGAACAGTCTATCATGTATCCAGATCGATGGGCAACAATCGATGGAGATGCTGATAGATTAATCTATTTTCGACCAATTTTTACACATTGTTCATCATCTTCAGATAATAGGTTAAGTAATGACATGAAAGAATTACATCTAACTGGGGCTGTAGCTCAACAAGTTGAACTTCTGGATGGTGATCGTATATCATGTCTTTTTGCTCATTTTCTTGTTAAAGTTCTCAAGTCAGTATCTTCCGATCGTAATTTAACTATCGGAGTCATACAGACAGCTTATGCAAATTCTGCGTCTACACGTTATTTAGCTGAACATCTTCATGTATCAGTAGTTTGTGTTCCAACTGGAGTAAAACATTTGCATCATGCAGCGCAAAGTTTTGATTTTGGGATTTATTTTGAGGTAATAAATTTATGTATTATTTATACCTTTAATTTCGATCTGGTATAGCAATAACTGAAGTTTAACATTTCAATATATTCAGTGTAATATTCCATTCATCAATGTTTCAATCTTCCTGATAATCATCAGGAAGGTGCACCCAAAAGTGTTTCCTTAGAAAACTCATACCTTTCTTAAAATTTGAATCTGAATAAATTATTTCCAAGTTATTCGTAACAATTTATTAACGATACTTGGAGAGAGTTATAGTTTTTCCAAGTTTTGTTGGGTAATTAGCTAATGTGTAGCTACTAAAAACACTAAATTCAGCGGCTCTTGATGTTTCATCGTTTAGTTTTAGTATCTAGACTACATTCTCTACTAGAAGGTTTTGCTAATGTTACCTTAATCGGAAATCCGAAAAGCAATAATTAGTAATAACTACATGAAAGTAAGGTTAAATTTTCCGATCCAAAAGTATTAATACACTGCTTAAACAGTATTTATTCTAATACAAAGGTTATCCAACCTCAGTTAGTAATAGCTAATTTTAGAATGGTGACTATTCAAAGAATAATTGTGTAGTAATTTTTGAAAAGTGATTTCTAATAAAATTTTCCGAGCATCTCTAGCCTTATGATTAGTGTATGTGTTCTCTTTAGTACCATTTAGTTAAAAAAATTTATTGACAAACTTTTTAACCGGTTTGTGTTTTGTGCTTTATGAAATTGTCTTTGCGCTGGTTTCCAAAGGTTGTTGCGCTTTGGGAATACAAAACACTGATCCACTTATTTTTTGAATTCCTCCAGTAGTTTTTTAACATTGATTAATGATACTGTTTATTGCTCAGTTATGTGAGAGGACATACGTCCAATGTTATTGTTAACAATATTTGTAGAATGTCGACGAACATCTCATGTGTATTCTCATATTTAGTGAACATATTTTTCTTAACTATTTCAATGAGGAAATCAGCATTACTGAGAGAAGTCTCACACTAGGACGAAACGCCCGTCCAATGCTCTCAGGTTTTCAATGGTGATCTAACATTGATCAGTTCATGATCTCAATTAAAACTCAACAATCCCCACAAACCTATTGTGATATATTTTGCTTCTCAGAAAAACCATGCTGAGTTTACTATCTTAGTAAAAAATAATAATAGCAAAAATAATTACAATGATAGTGTCAATGTGACGTTATGACTTCAGCTTGATTGTAAAGTCACTTTTTCAATAACACTTCATAATTTCACGTTGTAAATATTTAAGATTTCAATTAATCGATATCTTTTACCATATGTACATTTTGAGCGGATAATGAAATCTAATCGCTAAATAGATCCATTACTGTGCTAGATTTACACACTAAATATACTGAGAACTAAACAAACAAGAACTTTGTGTGGGATTTCATTTGATTTGGCTCATTTTTGTTTCCAAATTATTTATTCATTCTCTTTTCTGTTTTTTTTGTCTCTCTCCTCTTTTTGATATTTTATTTTTGTGGAATAGGCTAATGGACATGGAACTGTATTATTTTCCAAACATATTTTAAATTTTGCAAAAAATCTAAATGTGAACAATCCACTTCGTACATTTATTGATTTAACTAATACTTCAATTGGGGATGCTATAACTGATATTCTCTTGGTGGAATATACATTAGCTTGGTTAAATTGGTCATTTATTAATTGGTTTTCAATGTATGATGATTTACCATCGAAACAATTAAAAGTTACTGTAGCTAAACGTGATCTTATACAAGTTACATGGGATGAAAGACGTGTAACAAGTCCAATTGAACTACAAGTAAATCTAACAATTTTATTGTCAAGGTCTAGTTTACTTACATTGATCAGTTCTTTTAAGTAATAGAAATGTTTCCATAGTAATCTCTCTCTCTCTCCTTATATATATGGAGTGATAGTTGAATGATTGAGTTTCTATTTTATAGATGTGTTCATGTTCATTCGATGCTTTGGGACTTTATTTCTCGCTTTATATTTATGTCAGTTGTTTATGTAAAATATTTCTCAATTATCTGTTCACCTACCTAGTTAATCATAATCTGTAAATTACTAATATACTGAATTCCCTACTCTACAATTGTGTACAAGTGTTCAAACAATGATCGTTAGCGCTTATTCAATACTGATCGTAACAATAAAAATTTTAAAGCTTCTTGAAGTTCTATTAAATCCGATTGTTTGTTAGATTCTTAGTCTGGAATACTGCACAGGTACACAAGCTGAAGCAGAGTGGAATACAGAGTTACAACTATGTTCAACCTTGCTGTAAACTTCCAGTGCTATATATTTCTAATGAACTAAATGTTTAACAACTAAATGTGCTAATTAGAGATTTACACTGAATCATTATTGCGAAGAGTTTGGATTATCCCTTCGTTAGTATTGTCGATTAAATTTTAATCGATCTTTGTCGAGACATATACGTACTGCGTAGATTGTCTCAATGCGTCCATTTTATTGCAAGTTATACAGCATAGAAGTATTATGTATAGATCAGTGTAGTCTAGGTTGCGTGCCTCGTCTTATTTAGGACTCATTAGCTGGATATACTTGCACTCTTGTTGATGTTCACTGATATCATTACTAGGAATGGTTTAGATAGAATATTCAGAAAAACAATTTTTTAAATGAATATTTTTTTTTATTAACGTCATCTTCAACTTGTGCAAATATCAATTCATAGGTTTTGTGTCACTATGAGTATCTTAAATGGACAAGAATACGAATGTAAAGTCATTTTTCAGTCAAACATTCTTGATGTTTAGAAACGTGACACATAAGATGCTAATCACGAGACTAAAACCTATAAACCTATTACCATACTACTGTTACGACTAAAATGATCTATTACTACAACTCGTTTGGTCACATTAATCAAATGAATTAAGTTTCACATTTAATCTTACATATCTAGGTTAAATAATTTTATCATTTGTCCGTTAAAGTTATAAAATGTCATCCTATGGATCTGTGTAACATATGTTTGGAAATCTTTTTATAGTAAATTTAAGTATATATAGATACATACGTGCCAGGCAGAGTAAATGAGGAATGTACATGTGATATAAACACTCAAAGTAGTTAATGTTAAATCAGAGGTAGACTCACTTAGTTATCCTATTTATTTAAGTAAGTTCTGAGATATTTTTATAAACTGCTATCAAGCCTAGATCTCTCATCATTTGAATAAGCATCGAATCTTATTTTCATAGATTACTATAGAACAGTTCACGTATATACGATGTATGCTACTTATGTTGACAGATATACATAGTATGTTGCATCAATCGGAAGTGGAATGCCTGCCAACTGAAGATTGAGAAAATTGAATTGGAGAGAACAGGAAGGGAAACAGAGAGCAATTGTAATAACATGATTAAAATAGCCGTGAAGCATGTAAAGGACAACTGAAATAATATGCGAAAATAATCTATTTAATTTATGATTTCCATATTTTGCATTAAACTATGAATAGGTTTCCTCCAACTGAGTGTTCATTCATCACACACATAAAATACAGAAAACTTATTGACCTGCTTATCTACCAATAATATATCTTTCTTAGATTGACTTGTAGTGACTAATATAGAAAAGTAACTTGTAAGAGTTCGAACCAATCATCATCATCATCGAAATTTTCTTTGGATTAACTAAAAAGCTGTGTACAAATTACAAATTGCTATGTCAGGATAAATACTAAAAAAAAGTGAATTTTTGAAACAGTCCTACATGAAGTTGCTGCTTATAATTTTGTTGTATAATTATTAATTAATTGAACTATTATTTTTTTCTCATCCCTCTACTTTCAAGCCTTTGTTTGACATAAATCATAGTTGTGCGTTTTACCTTTCCGAAATTATTTCTAGTGTATGACAGACCTATCACTCAGTCCTTTTCAACTCGTAAAGTGGTTGTTCCCATATCGTAATTTCTTAATTCGATTGATGTGTGATCAGGATTTTACTCTGTATTATTGTATAAGTGATTCATAAATTCGGACTGTATAATTAGATTTTATCTGCTTTTTGGGTTGTTCTCTATTCTGACAATCGGGTGGTCGAGTCATTTAGTGATAATCAGTGTATAGAATGGTATATTTGTACACAATTCGACATAACATAACCGCATGAATGTACAAACATAGATAATGTAGAACTAATATAAAATATAAATTAATATTCAATTAGATTTAGTCTTTTGATAATGTATGTATATATCAGAACTGTTTAAAATGTGTCAGCATAACCCTGACATATATTAGTTGATTTTATTCCAACAGTTAGTGAAAAATCATTCTTTCTTCAATGGAATTTATAAGCCGTAGTAATGATAGCACTGGCTAATTATCGTTTAACATTTCAAAGCTCAAACAGTCAACTAATATTATAAACTGATGTTTATTAACAATTGTAACTTCTATTTATCACTGGGGAAAAACTGTTTTTAAGCTCAACGAAATTTAGGTTTCTGTAATGATTAGTGATTAGTAAGCTATTTATCAGAATAAATTTCTGGAATCTACTTTCTCTAATATTATACCTAAATCGTGAAACGTAACATAAATGTAAGAGGATAATCTCTCATTGAAATTTTGCTAAAACTTACATCTTCGTAATAAGAGTTTTAAGCGTCATCTAGTCTCAATAATTCTTGTATATTATGGTCTGTTCAGTCTTAATACTACTGTTGATGATAATAATTTTATCATTTACTCTTTGATTTCTAATATATATGTGTTTTACAATCCCAAGATTGCTATCGATGAAGCTGTTCAACAAGCCGATAAATTAGTTGATAAAATTGGTACATCACGTGCATTTGTTCGTCCTTCAGGCACAGAAGACACTGTACGTATTTATGCTGAATCGTATACACATGAAGCAACTGATTGGTTATCCGCAACAATCGCTTTAATAACTTATAGATTAGCCGGTGGAATAGGTCCTCAGCCTACACCTCCTAAACCTCTTCATTCCATTTGTAATTGATTCATCAACTATTTTTAATCGTAATTACTGTGAATTAATGTGCTGGTCGGTGCTCTTTCTTTCCTCCTTTTGTTCTGTCTTGATTTATTTAATCATATTTAGTTATTTTGATGTATTTTGTTATTATTTGTAATCTTGCGAAATTATAACTTTCGTCTCTTTACTGTTTTTTTTCCTATGTTCTCCTCTCGATTATATCTGATGGTAATTATTAAGTAGTTAATTTATATAATGTTATGTCATGAAATAATGTGTATTACAATGTGATATAGAATATTTACAATAAATTAATTTCATACAGAACAAATGTTATTAATAATAATGTCTTATTTTTAATTTTGCTTTAGAAAGAGAAGACTATGTGTTAGATGGTTGGAGGCAGTCGACAGGAAACTCTAGATCTAGGTCTCATACTATTTGACACTCGTCAATGGGTTATACTCATAGTTATGAAAGAAGTGCTCACAACAGATTTTGTCCCATGTCATGTAGCTCCACAGTTAGAGACGCTACCATTAAGCTGCCCAGGTCACGACTGACCTGTAGGATTATAATATTTACAACTGATTTAGCAATAAGTAGTGACCAATATAATATTTATCTAGTTCCTTATAATCCTGACCGGTTCCTGCTATTCAAGTTGCAACTTGACAAACATGATATTGGTTACCGCTCAGTTGTCAATCAATTATATGAGACTGTGTGTTTGTGAAAATTTAATTAATAATAGTGATTGCTTCAATTTTCTGAGTTCTAAGTTCTTTACGTATTGATTCAACTTTATCAGTGGAAAATCTTTGTTCATATCATTGTTCTTTTCGCAATCATATTTTTCTGTTATTTTAGGGAACATGATTAAAAATATTGTTTGCTTGTGATCTATTCGGTAAATTATATATATATATATATATATATATATATATATATATATATATATATATATATATATCACGGGTTGTGTTCTTCGCGAATTAATCCCAGCTGGGGTAACATTGAAAAATAGGGAGCACTGGACAGCTATATCCCACTGTGAAACTCCTTAGAATTGCTCACCCGCTTTCCTGTACATGGATAAATATGTGTATATTACGACGGTTGCAATCTCCCTAATTTTCTCACTATGGATGGATTTGGAAACTAGGTTGATAGTAATGGTCCTAGAGACCTGAGAGTATGATCACGGAACTCCAAGAACAACTAATTGAGTTAGGTCTCACACAGTGTTTTGGATGCGATCGCGCTTGAATGATATATATATATATATATATGAAGTCTTTATAAATGATTGCTTTGTTGAAGAAATGATTTTGTAAATTATAAAATTTTAATGTAGTGACTAATTGTGAGTTGCTAAAGTTTTGTATTTTAAGATTTTCAAGATTGACAATCCAGTTATTGTACTTTATGTTTATGAAGGTGAAATTAAAGAAATACCACCGTTGAGTCAATCACTATTTACATTTGAGCAACGTGTTACCATAATATAGTAACTGATAAATTGACATTTTAAAATGAATTATGCACAAATATTGTTGAGTTATTGTATGATATTTGATTATAAAAGATACAATGATATGTTATATTTAAATAATTTAATCAGTTGTGATGAATGTCTAAAAACTAATTAGTCGGTTGGGTTTATTTTTTAAGATTAATCTTTCATGCACTAGTAATATTTCCTGTAATTTTAAAAACTACGTCAGACTGACTTAATGAAATTTTTCATTTATTTAGTAAATGTAAATTTTCATTTCGAATTATTTCCATTTCAGATAAAATATTTCAATGCACAATTTTTCCGAAATTTCTCCATTTTTACTCAAAATTCGATCATGTGTTTTTTTACCTCAATGTGGTGGACGTTATTTCCCTCCAGGAACACTTTATCGTCCACATCATGAACGTTTTGATGAGAATTGTGAACGTAAACCACTGCCTCATCCGGAAACTCCAAGGTTTCAAGGTATTGATAAACTCATATATCTGTATTATGATTCAATTTTATTTAGTCTCCGTTGTTAACTGATCTTCTATAGTACTAATGATTAATATGGAAATAACTAGGTCTTACTAAATCAGTCAACTGATGGAGGTGGAAATAGGTAGTAACATTTAATGTTTGCTGTTCTTTTTTAACTCACGAGTTATGTTACGGTTATTTAGAGTACTGGGGTTCATTACGGGCCTACATTAATTGCTAATTGAAGAACGATTGAGCTTATTCTGATACGAATAGTTTCTATTACGGATTCGATAGATCAGGAGCTGGTGAACAACACCTCATTTATATTCCATTGTTATATATGAATATAAAAATACCAACGCGAATGCAAGGAAACTTGATATTTAGGCAGATAAATTGAAATAATACAAATCCGTCTATATAGTAGCGAAATCATGACTTTAAACTACACAGAAGATTAGCGAACTATAAGTAGTGACAATCAATCAGAAAAGGCCAAAGGTCACGTGAAAATTTCTACCAAAAAATACTAGCGGTCGTGGTTACCAGTGAGAATTTAACATTAAAGAAAGTTGGATAACCCCGTGATCTCCTTGGACAGTCATAATCAACAAAGAGCTTGGCACACGTGTGGATCGGCTCAATCTGCCACATCCTATTCTCACGTTGAGATGAAATTACCAAGTTTGGTATTAAAATGTTCGAAGTATCACTGATAACATAAACGATTAGAAATGGAGAATATGATTCGAGAAAGACCATTTCACAGAATAAAAGGTATAAAATAATTTTGAAACTCAAGATCTGAAGGAAAATGAAGAGTGAATGCATCTGCGCCATTGTGACCAATATCGAGCGACATTGCACAATATCTCCAACTACTAAATAGTACTATTTAAACTTGGATTAATTTTAATTTGGTTATTTATTTTATGAAAAAGTGACTTACACCAAGTCACGAAACGTCAGAAAATTTAATTTTTCTACTCATTGGGATATTACCCAATGCTCAATTTATTCAAAATTATCAAATCAAACCTTGGTAATGATACCTACAATCTCCAAGTACTGACTAAGGGAATCGCGTGGACCCCAGTCAATCTACATCTACCGATATGACTGAGACTAGCAGTCAGTGACTTGAGGCACTGTGTTGATTTCATTAGTGACAACGATTAATAATGGTGCTAATGAAATATCGATTCTTATTTACTTCATATACATTCCATCGGTTGTCATTGTTGAGAACGACGGGAAATGAAAAGTCCAATACAAAAGTACTTTGGGTGCATATATTTCTTTTACCATTGACGTCTCACGGTTGTGCAGCAGGAAAAATATTCTGCTGTTCTTATAGCCGATTGATCACTGAGTGGTGACCGATGTCATGTATATTAAATTCACATTACAACTTGATCTCTAGAATTCAACCAGCAACAAGAAAAACTCGGCAAACACGACATTTATCAGTACTTATTAGTCAGAAAATTGTAAATACACCCCAGTCCTACAACAGATCAGTCATCACCCTAATAGCTCAGTGGTATCGTCTGTGACTATGATGCTGAGTGACAGGACATCGAATCAGCCAGGAAGTATCAGTGTCTTCGAAATTACGAGTAGATCTTACTGATAAGTGTCAAATGATACGAAACCTCAGTCCAGGGTTTCCTTTCAAACCGTCTTCAACAACCTCCCAACAATTCTGTACAATACATAACTTAAATCATTTATTTTTTCTGTGTCACAACTAGCATTAACTAGGTGAATCTTCTACATACTTAGTAGACTCCATTAGTAATTAGGTCATTACATTTCTCAAGCTGATGAATGAGTTAATTTTTTGGACTATTTTGTTCTGTTGAATTCTTGAAACACTATATATTAACTACAGTCGGCTTAAATCAACCATTCTCATTTTGTCATTAATCGTTTTTTTTTTCTCCAAACAACTCATTCTATCGACTTTTCTTCATTTAAAACCACATATAACTGAATTTGTAACAGTCTTGTATTAGTTCAAGTAGCATCACTTCACAGATCAACTGACAGATAACGAAATAAATGCGAAGATAATAGTCACAAAGAGTTAAAAAAGAAAATAGTGGAAATTCATAAAGACAGCGAATATAATAAATAAAATGTACATTAATTATATTAAAAGGACAGTTGGATAGATTTGTATCATTTTTATGCGTAATACCTTGCCAGATTAATGCTAACTGTATATTTTTATAACTATCAATGTCAATTATTTGATTAATGACACCAAAGGAGTTGATTAATTTGAGAAAGAAAATTGTACCATAAATTTAATTAGACATTTTTAGCTAAAAGCCATATATATGAATTATCACTACGCATCAAATATCATAGTTCATACGGCTACTTATATTGGGTTTTTTTTTACTGGGGTGGACATTTTTTAAATCTTGATATGCATTTAGTTTTTATGACAGAGAATCAGATTTGCCGTAAACTTTAAATGGTATTTTAGGACAAATATCAAGCATAAGTTTTACTATTATGGCTTTTTAGCATTGTTTCGTTAAACAAGCACACTATTCTTTACGGATTATTGTTCTCATACAAATAAGAATAACATTCTATGGATTTTGTAATAAGTAACCTACCTATTTACATCTGTTATAATCTCTGTGTAGAATAATTATCCATCTAAATGACATACTATAACTCCTGTTTTTTACATGCTTAATTCATTTGTAAATATCTTTCATTTTCAAAGTTTATTTTTAAATCAACATTTATTTTCATTTATAATACTTTGATAATTCATCAAAACCATAGTCCTAACATAAGGACAGCTGAATGGATATGTAACATAGAAACATACTGATCATTACTCAACTTAAAATTTACATTTATATGCACAGAAATTCCATTAATTATTATCCATAATCAGATAGGGGTTTTGTGGATATTATAGTAATTTAATAGTTGAATTCATGAGTCAATTGAAGCTAGACCACCAAGAAGTATTTCCTGGAGTTCTAGTGAGAAGCCGTGACCAGTAGAGTTCAACTAGGTCTGTTGTGAGAAAGTAACTCACTGAAGATAATGGTGGACGGTGGCGCAACTTCGAAGATTGGTTGAAGTTAGACATTAACGCAGTTGGATGCCGGTTAAGCGCTCGCGCACGAGGCCGATAGGTCTTGGGTTTGAATCTCGCGAGTCCCATGTTAGGACAAAACGGCCGTCCAGTGCTTCCAGGTTTCCCATGGTGGTCTAGCTTCAATTGACTCATGACTCAAGATATACTCTACTTATTATTAACACATATTTCATTTCGGTTACAATATGTTATCTAATAAATTTCTAGCTTTTATATGCTCAAATGAATCTTAACAAGTTTTACACCAATTTTGTTGACGGTAATTTCAACGAAAATTTATCAATGAAATAAAACTGCGATTGTAAATTGAATTAAAATGTCAGGAAATTTAATCTGTTTATCATGCTTTAAGATGTAAATTTGTTATTCTTTTACCACCAAAATATTCAGTAATCCTTTTGTAACATTTTTCTGCATAGAAATTCCTGTAACAGATCCTAGAAGTAAGGCGAAAATTGCCGGTAAAAGACCAATTCATGTAATTTGTGAACCTAACCAAGTTTATTGGTGGTGTTCTTGTGGTCATAGTAAACGTCAACCATTCTGTGATGGACATCATATTCGGATTTTAGGCTCAAATCCAACCTTTAAAATCAATAAGCGAGAATT